TAAGTAAAAAGGTTTAAACTACGGTACATATTAATTTTAAATGCATTATTTCAGCAGCTTCTTAAGTGAAAGAAGAGAATGCAGAATACATACAACTTTGTACAAGTGTCTGCATGAAGGGAAGTCCTGATTTTTTTCCAATGGATTCAACTGTATTTGCTATTAATTATAGAACTCTTGATTCCTTTCTTTAAAAATGTAGAATGGTGACAATGAGACCCGTGCATGCTAAAAAGGCAGTGGTGGTGATGGGAATCTATTTTCCAAGGATAAATCTACCCCTCATGTCATAATGAATCACAAGGACTGCACCACAACCAAGGTAAAACTTCCCTAGCTCTAAGAGGACATATAAGATCTAAAGGGAAAACTAAATAAAGGCAACATAATTCAGTGGCTGGCTGAGCTGCGAATGAAACATTTTCCAAAGCAGTTGGTCCAATTCATGTTAACAACAACAAGATTCAAGATAGAAGTACTTACTTTATCAACAACCTGGGTCAATTATATTTTTAATTCCTCACTATTGAAGAAAGCATTTTCTTCTAGCCCCCCCCCGAAAAATCATAAATATGCACAAATAGCTGCTAAATCATACCACAGATTTTGCTTACACATCTCACTGATCAACACCCTTGCTCCTCATATAGAGATGAAGTTGCATTCACTACTGCAGTCAAAGTTCTGCAATCTATTTGCAATAAGGACTCCAACTAATCTACATTTTTCCTCTCTACCTTGAGGCAAGGGTGCCTCAGACACGTTAGAGAACCTCAGACACATTCTAGTGATGTGTGTGCAATCCAGCCAGGGCAAGGAGCCAAAAAGGATAGTGAAGAAGGCACTTTTCTCTCAAAGAGCCGATGTTCCAGAGAAGGACAACGATTGCTTTACCACTCAGACTGACACTACCAGCTTGGGCAGCAGCAGTGCTTCTGGTTTTTTGTAACTGGGAAGGTTTAGGAAGAGTACCAGACACTGCCTCCGACAGGCATACTATGAAGCTCCATCATATTCAAGGAAGTGTTTATCCCCAGCCCCTATTTCCAGCAAATCTCTCCTAGGCAAGGCAGCATTGTGGTTGTTGGGAACCCAGCAGTGCTTCTGTTTTTTTGTAGCTGGGAAGGTTTAGGAAGAGCACCAGACACTGCCTCCGACAGGCATTCTATGAAGCTCCATCATATTCAAGGAAGTCTTTATCCCCAGCCCCTAATTCCAGCAAATCTCTCCTATGCAAGGCAGCATTGTGGTTGTTGGGAACCCCCCTTCAAGTACATATACATCTGATGTAGAGGAGGAGTAGACTGACGGAGCTCAAGTGGGCACTATTTCAGAAGCCTGTGACACAGAAATCAGCCTCGCTGCCCCTGCATTTGCCCCATCAGTTGCCGGAACTCGTTGCGATGACAGGTTAGCAATCGCTGTTCGGAACATGCAGACAAAAACTGGAGTTCCCAAGAAGTCAATAATCTGGAAGCAACTGCAACAGTATGCAACAGATTGTGGCAGAGTGCATGCACTGCAAGACGGTGATGAAGCATGAGCAGGACTTGGGCTGCCTTTCCAACAGGAACATGCTCAACCACCTGAAGACTCAGCCTAGGGCATTGCTGCTGGCCAATGGAATGGGTACTTTGGGTTCAAGTGGCTTCCTTATTGTGAAGGGCAAGAGTCATCAGAGGGCAGTCAACCAGCCCAGTAAAGCAGGCAGGCAGATGGGCAAATAGCAAGAGGTGGAAGGCAGCACATGCCAGACACAAATCTCAAGATTAAGCTGCAGGCCATCCTGGAGGATCACAGGAAAAGGCCTTCCGTGAACAGAAAGATACAGTGGGGTCTTGACTTGAGAACTTAATCCGTATTGGAAGGCGGTTCTCAAGTCAAAAAGTTCTCAAGTCAAATCTGCATTTCCCATAGGAATGCATTGAAAACCATTTGATCCGTATCTGCTCTTTTCCGTCCATAGAAACTAATGGGAAGCCAGGAGGATCCTGGAGGATCACAGGAAAAGGCCTTCTGTGAACAGAAAGATACCATGATTGCTCATCACCTATGGGAGATGATACCACTGGATGACCAGCCATTCTCTCTGGTGGAGAACAGTGGCTTCTGTAGGTTTGTGGCAGAAGTGGCGCCCCATTACTAATTATGCCATCCCAAACTACCATTAGGCACGAGGTGATAACAGATTTATATTGGGATGCCCCAGCTGACCAGGGCACAGTGGTAGATTTTACAAGGGATATCTAAAACAGCCATTGTGCAAAACATGCCTATCTCTCCCTAACAAGGCACTAGTGGGAGATGGGGAATTCAGGCATAGGGTAACACACAAGGGCAGGATACAGGTGGACCCTATTGAATGTGGCTGTGATGGCGGGCAGCCACAAAATTTACATTTAAGAGGCTCTAAGGGACATGCTGTAGCAGTGGAGTCTATTTACAGAAAGCCATGGTCAAACATGGTGATAGCACTGCAAGCTGGGAAGATGAAAGGGATGTTGCGTATGGCCTACACTTTCAACCTGCTTTGCAAGGTATGGAAGACACATACCTAATATAACTGAGGGAGCCAGAAAGGTGGCAGGGCATTTTCACCACTGTTTGGGAGAGTGAGATGTTGCAGCAGAGGCAAGAAAAATTGGGACTGTCGTGACACCACCTAATTCAGGATGTGGCAACTCAGTGGAACTCTTGACAAACATGGCAGGAGCCTGTCTCCCAGAGACACCACCCCAGAGGAACAATATGGTAGAGACAGAAGTAAAGGTGTACATTCAGGAGCTTTGCAAGCTGAAAGAGACCAACCCCTTGACTTACTGGGCTTAGAAGGAATCTGTTTGGGGAGGTCTGGCCAAAGTGGCAGTGGGACTGCTACCTTGCCCACCAACTAGTGCGCAAAGTGAGAGAGTATTTGCTCAGCAGGAGACACAGTCAGTACACACTGCTCATGCCTGCAACCTGAATCTGTAGAAAAACGTATTTTCCTGAAGATCAAACTACCACTGCTATGCCATGCTTCAGTTTGCTGCCCCCTCCTTCTGCTTCATTCATTCTTCTAACAGCTCCTCCCAAGACTGTGCTCACTCACTCAACTGTGCCCATGCTGTTGGCACACTTCCCATCTACCAAAGGTTATCTGTTGCTTCAACCTGCTTGTCAGTGCTGCCCAGAGTATTTGCCCAGTCCCCGGTTCAACCTGCTTCCCCAGTGCTGTTGGCATTTCCTGATGGCATTTCCCCTGTTCATGGTTGAATCAGTGTGTCCATTACAGCAGTGGCCCCCAACCGCGGACCGGGGGGGTTGGCATGCTTTTGTGGGTGTGGTGTGCATGCAGGGAGTGGAGCTTGCTTGTGTGCATGTTGCACTTGTGGGGGGCCCTTGCGTGCATGCTCACAGCATACTTGCAGGGGACCGGATGTACTTGCACACATGCGTGTGACGGTGCTCACAGGGGGTGCTCGTGGGAGGTAGGAGATCTGTGTCCGAGGCCTGGTCCTGGATAGGCCACGGACCGCTGCAGGGTCGCGGAGCGGGAATTGGGGACCTCTCCATTACAGTAATGTAATATCCTAATACTTACATCCTGCTGGCTATTTATTTAAGTGCACTATTTTTGTTTTGTACAATCACTGGGAATGTATTAGATGACACCGGGAAATCCTTTAAAAATGTTTTTCATTTTTGTGTTTCTTTTAAGGAGAAAATAATGACTATATAGCATTCATATTGATTATAACGGAGTTCCAGATATCTGGCAATTCAAAATTTTTACAATTCTGAATCCAAATCCCAAGTTTTGATGTTAGTGCGCATCCCTACTTCTAAGTAAATTTATACAGGCCTGCACTTGAGGTCAGGTTTAAACAAATGTCATTTTGCACACAAGCATTTTATAAAAATTCACACTGCTGAACTATCCACAATTTGCTGTGAAAATGTCTTCTGAATCCTCATGTGAATACAGAAACAAAAAATCCCCTACATTAAACTATTTTCAACTTTGCAGTAATAAAGCATTCATGAGAATATACACTGATATATCAACTACAGTATATTAATATGCCAACTGCAAATAATTTTACAGTGTACTCGCCCAATACTATGTTGTCTGTGCTGTTGTTAATTGTATGTTTTTTTTTTAATTTTAAGTGAATTCATCTACACCTCAAGGGGAAAATGAGAGGTATCATATATCCCAAACTCAAACTAGGTGGAATATTACAAGACAAGAACACTTTAAATTGGTCCCAGAAAGTTCAAGACTGAAGAGCGCATGACTACTACTGTATTCAAATGATGAACAACAATCTGGTGGAATTACTTTGTACCAACTGATATTTCCAGACAGTTTTTTAAAGCAAGTCCCACATGCAGATTACTAACAGATTCTGGAATTTATCAAGGTTTGAATAACTTCTGCCTAGGATTGTCCATTCCATGGAAGAACACAGCCAGTCACACCTTGTAACAAATGCCAATTGAACTTTCAAAAACAGCACCAGATCAACCCAAAACTACAAACTTGAGTCTCTGTGAAAGTGCAATCCCAGCCAGCCAGTCCTGGGTAATCCTATAACCCACAAACTGTCAATTTATCTCCATCACGTCATTTTGTACGTAAGCATTCTCTATCTTACAATTTCTAGGCATCAATTCAGGAATCCCACTACTTCTTGTGGATCAGATAAAAAATAAGAAAGAACTGCACAGCATTTACTTACATAAACAATTAAGTCATTTTTGTAAGTAATTTTAAAATTCCATCTTTTGCTAGATTTTTAGCAGATACAATAAACCTGCCTCACTTTCACACTGCAAAATATCAGAATTTAAATAATCTAATTGTACAGATTTGAATGAAAAATGTCTTCCTTGTTTTGCATTTGAAAGTGCATACTTTGATGCCAAGACACAGACCAAACATTCTTACCATACTGAATATATAAAGGGCTCAATAGTGAGTTTGTGACAGAGGAAGAAAAAGAAAAAACACTCACCATTCTAACTACTTCAGGGTAAGTCTGCTCAGTCAAACAGCCTCTGCTTATTGTAATGTAATCCACAAGTTCATTAAGAGTTGAGCGCTTGTATTCTTTCATTTTAAGATCTGAGAGTGTGTCCATGAAGTCAAAAATGACACAGCACTGCTGAAGTTTCTTTAGGAACAACTCAGGTTGCTCTGTAGATGAAACGTCTGCAAGGGGGAAAGAAGGAAAACCTCCATAAGTCTAGTATTATTTTTACATGAAAGAAATTGTTTTTAAAAAGACGCATACACAAAAACACTGTATTAATTTAGTAACAAAGAGGTACTGGTAGCTTGGACACAGACATTAAACCCTGATCAATGATAATCAATGAGATCCAACATTTCAGAAACAAGCCAAATACTTCATTCACTCAGAAAGTATTCCAATAGCAATCTGCCAAATAACCAAGATGCTTATTTCTACCAAGCTTTAACAGAATTGGATATCACCAAATACAGTATCTCATAGAATGTACCGTATTTTTCGCTCCATAAGATACCAGATACAGTATCTCATAGAATGTAAGTAATAAAACAGTCTATACAAGATCAGAGGTGTTCTGAAACACTGATAAACTATTTATAGGCATACTCAGCTTGACCTTCAATAATTTTTTTTCCCAAATGGCACCATTATACAGAAAATTCCAATGACATTTATTAAGATTAGATGAAAGAAAAACCAGTGACAAGAGAATTTTTTTCCTTGTTAGCATCAGCATGTTTGGCCCACAGAGAACACTTTCAGACAGACATATAACACTACTAAAGTGAGTCATTTCATACAATAAACATAAAAAACATATCAATTTTATGTATATATTTGCTGGAATCCAATGGGATAGTTAAGCTGACAGGAAAACCAGCAATCCCCCTTTCTCTGAAGCAATCCTTTATGCTAGTTTTCAGGCAACATAAGGGGCTACAGGATAGAGATAAAAGGAAGTCCTGTTGTATTACCGTTTATAGACAGAGCAAAGGTCATCAACCGCGGTCCGCAACCCGGTGCCAGTCCATGGCCTGAGCCAGAGCGGGCCGCGGAGACAGACCTCCCACCCGCCCAAGCACTCCCCTCCCCACAGGGGTTTTGTCCGCGGACGTGTGCCAGCACCGGCGTGAGCACTCCCGCCCAACCACTCCCCTTCCCCACAGGGCTTTTGTCCGCACACGTGTGCCAGCACCGGCGTGAGCACTCCCCCACCCCTTCACACATGCGCGCAGGTGCCCACACGCTTCCCCACTGCTTTGCATATGTGCCCGAGAGCGTGAGCACAGGGGGGGTGCCCCACCTTCCTCAGAGGCTCATCCAGTCCACGGTCCCAAAATGGTTGGGGACCGCTGATCTACAGCAGTTATTCCCAATTTGGTATACACGTACCCCCAGGGATACAAACCAGGATATTTAGGGATATAGGAAAAAAATGAATAATGGTGGGAAAAGGCAGATAGGTCAACAGTGTAAGACAAGATAAAAGTCAAAAACTGTGAAATTAATTGAATGCTATGAAAAGTGCAGTCAGTCAGTCCTGTGAGCAGTGTTCAGTGATCTTCTGGGTCCTCTTTATCTCTCTTCTATTTGTCATAGTTTTAAATTTTAAATTAATTTTTCAAATAATCTACTATCAGATATGGTCTGTGATGTACTTATTTGAATTCATTGTATATTTTGAGTTTTGAATGTAAATACATATACACAGTCTTATTATTCCATTACTGTTTAATCCCACTATTGGGCTAATTATTTATAGTTAAAACATGCAGATTTGAAATAACAGCAATCATATTAATTATTAACATTCTGCTAATAGGAAGGGTATAATTTATGGAAATAGGCTACCAAGGAATACACAAGTCAAAAAAGGTTGGGGACCAGTGAGCTAGAGCAGCCATTGTTAACCTGCTTTTTGTCCATGCCTAGACATGGGGAGATGAATAGAAATATCAGTACCACAGGTGCCTGGGCCATTTGTCCCCTCCCCCAAGCAGCCAGCTCACTCACTGCTCGTTGTGCAGCACACACAGCCATCGTCATCTGCGTTGTACTGATCACGGAAATATTCCCCCCCCAAGCAGCCAGTTCACTCACTGCTTGTTGTGCAGCACACACAGCCATTGTCATCTGCGTTGTACTGATCACGGAAATAGTCTAGCCGGTGCTTCCCTGCCTCCCTACACAGCTGACCATTCAGCAGCTAAGCACAGGGAGACATATCATCTTGCCTCCTCGCCAGACTGGTCAGCAGCACAAGAAGGTTGGGAAGCGTTGGAAGGGCTACTTCCACAATTGGCATGATGTAGACAACCATGGTTGCATGTGCAACCATTCCAGTGAGGAATAGATGAACCAGGCTGGTTCAGGGGGGAGAGGCCAAACAGCCGAGGCACCTTTGGTGCTGAAATTCATATTTGTGGCCCCCAGGAAATGAATATAAATACTGTACTGTCTAGCCACAGGCCTTTTAGGAACTCTTCTCAGGTTCTAAGGCCCCCTCTGGCAAATAAGAAAAACTTTTGGCTGCGTGCAAACAAGGAAGCAACAAAAACAGATGACTCTATGCCCCCGACAAATGTGCCAGTCCCCCTCCCAGACCATATAGCTTGCATTAAGAATAGCTGATATGGGGGGGCGGGGTCCTGGCACATTAGAAGGGGACTTTAGGAATCAATTCTTCATATACCACCTTGTAAGGTTCGTTATGTGACTTATCCTATCCTGAATTCCTGATTCAACCTATATTTCGTTCATATTGTATTTATGGACGTGGCCAGAAAAATGTTGTGAACAGCTAATCCAGAGCAGCGTGACCAAAAAATGTTGTGAACAGCTAATCCAGAGCAACATTTGACATATGCCGCTGTGAATGCAGTGTGCATACTGTATAATTTATATTTATCATTGTCGTTTAGTCGTGACCGACTCTTCGTGACCCCATGGACCAGAGCACGTCCTCCTGTCTTCCACTGCCTCCTGGAGATGTGTCAAATTCATGTTGGTTGCTTTACAGACACTGTCCAGCCATCTCATCCTCGGTCGTCCCCTTCTCCTCTTGCCATTGCACTTTCCTAACATCAAGGTCTTTTCCAAGGAGTCCTCTCTTCTCATGAGATGGCCAAAGTATTGGAGCCTCAGCTTCAGGATCTGTCCTTCCAGTGAGCACTCAGGGTTGATTTCCTTTAGAATGGATAGGTTTGTTCTCTTTGCAGGCCAGGGGACTCTCAAGAGCCTCCTCCAGAACCACAATTCAAAGGCATCAATTCTTCGGCGGTCTGCTTTCTTTATGGTCCAGCTCTCACGCCCATACATATGTACTGAAAAAACAATAGCTTTGACTATGCTGACTTTTGTTGGTAAGGTGATGTCTCTGCTTTTCAAGATGCTGTCGAAGTTTGTCATTGCTTTCCTCTCAAGAAGCAGGGGTCTTTTAATTTCGTGGCTGCTGTCTCCATCTGCAGTGATCATGGAGCCCAAGAAAATAAAATCTGTCACTGCCTCCATATCTTCCCCTTCTATTTCCCAGGAGGTGATGGGACCAGTGGCCATGATCTTAGTTTTTTTGATGTTGAGTTTCAGGCCATTTTTTGCACTCTAATTTATATTTATAGCAATGGATAAATCTTTTGTATTAATTTTTTGTACTAAATCAATTGTTTGGCACAAAAATATTACACAATGAAATCACAAATGATCCGGCAATACTATAAATCTTCTCAAAACAGTTGACCATTCCTGTTTTATTCACAATAGTAGCTTAATTACCCCGTTACACCTTTTCAAAGGAACAGCATAAAACATAGATTAATCTCAAGCAAACAGGGGACTAATGTTAATAGGCAAGTCACAATAAAATACATTGATCTTTATTTGAACAGCAGACACCAAGCAAAGGCAAAGGGGCTTCTCTTCTACCCTGTAGTTAAGATTAGAAACAGCAGCTTTATTCAGAATGTTTAAACAACATCATGAACCAAAATGAAATGTAAATCAATGCCTGGGTTTAAATATTAAGTGTTTCACTTATACCAATTTAGCCATTTTAAAAGCTCATAAACGGCTATCTATGCACTTCTGACAGGAACCTCAGTTCTATTCACATATTTTCTACTTCTCAGTGATGCACTGAATGTGTAAAGTCAGTTAGCACATGACGGTGTTTCAGTTTTTATTGAAAAGCTTTTTCCACTTTGAGGGATTTGTCTGGAGTAGGAGGAAGTGTTCCCTGAGCCACCTGGAGTGGGATTGTTAATACATAGATGGGAAAAATACAGCAGGCAGTGTGAGCCTTTAATAACATTTGCTAGGTTTTTGGCTTGGCTGTGTCCCTCAGGCTTCTGCATTCCCTTCAGGTAAATGCAGAAAAATTCACAGGAGCTCGGATGGGATCTGAGAACTGTCAAGTTCTGAGGAAGGAATGAGTTCTTCTGTGTCCTTAATCTCAGAAAAATCCAAATACAGTGGTGCCCCACTTTACGATTACCCCGCATTACGACGAATCCGCTTCACGACGACGTTTTTGCGATTGCTTTTGCGATTGCAAAACGATGATCTAAATAGTGTTTTGTTTTTTTTTTCACTTTGCGATGATCGGTTCCCTGCTTCAGGAACCAATTCTTCGCAAAACGATGTTTTTTAACAGCTGATTGGCAGTTTTAAAATGGGTGCCAGGAAATTAAAATGGCTCCCCGCTGTGTTTAGGGACGGATTCCTCGCTATACAGGCAGCGAAAATGGCCACCGTATGGAGGATCTTCGCTGGACGGTGAGTTTTTAGCCCATTGGAACGCATTGAACGGTTTTCAGTGCATTTCAATGGGCTTTTTATTTTCACTTTACGATATTTTCGCTTAACAGCGATTTTCCTGGAACGGATTATCGCCGTTAAGCGAAGCACCACTGTATGTGGTTGCAAGGAACAAGACTTGCAATCTTATAAAGAGCATAACTAAAGCAGTTTTGACCTCCTCCTAGTCCCAAGACATTATCTGTGAAACTTAAAATAGCAAAGCTTAAGTGAGCTGGCTTTCAGATGGATCAAAATTTCTGCCACACACTTAAGGTGTGCTTCTGGGTCAAAAGAAGTGACACAAAGCTGATTGTCAGCAGACTGAGGCCATACTTGAAAAGAAAACCTCATAACAAATGAGGATTTGTGAAAACAAGGTAGTTCT